GGGGGGGGGGGGCAGGTGCGATGAGGGGACGACCGTCAGTTCTGACTTCCCCGAATTACGCTCCTTTTGCTTGGACTTCGCTGGCATCCTGAGCGCAGGGAGCCTGCCACGGGAGGTGACCCCTAAGGCCCTAAGGCCTGCAGCAAGCAAGCACGAAGTATCAAGACGAGAAAAGTGCCCGTGTTGGATCACGTTGGCTTGAGGCCCAGGCCAAATAATCTTCACGGGACGCGGGAAATGGGTGGAGGACCATCGGTTCCCTCATGTCCGGTTCCGTCAAATCGTGCAAGTCCTGCAAGTCTTAGGTGTCCTGCAAGTCCTGCCGGCGTCATGGATGATTCGCATACATTTTGGAGCCTCTTCTGAATCCCTTGTTCGCAAATGGTATAGCAGAGACCCCACGTTTGCAATGAGTGCCGGGGGCTTTGTCATTGCCTCAAGATCTTGCAGAACTGAAGCAAGCCCCATGGGTGGTCGGGAACCTGAGTCTGCTTGGCCATGCGATCCGGCGAACCATGGAGACTCAAAATGCGGACGTCCTTTGGGTTTGTCTTCAGCCTGTCTTGTCCAACGTCCGCGCAAAGCTCTGCCGTGGGAGAGGATGCGCGACATTTTGTTCATCCTCCTGTTTGTCCAGTACAGAAAGATGTCTGAATGGTGCGTCGCGGCATGATCCAGTCTGGAGCCTCCCTTCAACGTGGTCTTGAATCTGCCATGGTGACGTGGACGGAACACCAACAGTCACAGTCCCCTCCCGGCAGCAGACAACCAACCAACCGGCTGGGATCCAAGCCCAGACGTGTGGAGTCACCAGAAAGCCACGCCCATCAAGTTAAGCTATGTTGAGCTTATCGGAGCACAATAATTCCTGACAGTGCGTGAGTCATCTGCAGTGTTGCTACTCGTCTTTCGTGCCAGGAGCTCTGTCCCCATTTCCCTGGCCAGCAGGCGGACCGAAGTTCTCGCGCGGACAGCAAAGCAAAGCAGAATGCACAGGTGCGAGCGACACCGAGGGTTTGGCGACAGGCTCTGTAGCTTCGCTGCGCCGATGAGTTCATGCTCGTAGCTCGTACCATCTCGTATTTGTCTTTGAGACGATACGTTTTTTGTTCACCTCCGTCTCGGCTCAAGCGGCCGAGCGGCAGCGTTGCCCTCTGCGCCGCCTCGCGGCCTCGCGGCCTCGCGCCCGACGCCTGGGCTTTGTTGAAAGACTCTTAGGACTCAGTTTCCGTGAGCTGGGGGCCGCCTCAGGGTCTCGCACCGTGCGATCTCAGCAAGACATCGATGGAGACATCGTAAGAGCGTTTATAAAAGTTACCGTCAAAGTCCGGGCTTCTGGCCCAGGCTTCGAACCCTTGCGGGCCAAGTGAAGCAGGCACGGAGCGTGTTGCGATCTCTCGAATGTGAAGAGAGCGGGTGAAGGCCACTCCGAACTCCGAGAGCGAACCCTTCAAGATGTACTCCCCAGAGGCCAAGGTACCGACAAAAACCGCGGGCGCTGATGCGCCTTTAGCTTGTTTCAGGTTTCTTCGAGAGCGCTGTTCTTCTGCATCCCCATTCGTCTCACTGTCCTCGTCCGGTCCTCAAACCGGAGACTCGAAGCTCGAAGCGTCGGTGGAATGGCTTTCCCGAGACTTCGGCTGTGATCGTCACCCTGACCTCCTTCTTGTACATAGTGGACTACAGGCAAAGGGAGAGATTGCCGAAGAGCTTGCCTGCGCAGCCCGCTCAGAGGCTCTTCAACCAGCTCTTCCGAAGCTTCGTTGGCGGCTTCGCCACACCGCCGGCTTTGTCGCAAGGGGCGAGCAGTACTACGGTTGATGATATAAACCTTGCATTACCCGTCGTAAGGAGAATATATATCTATATATATATATCGCTATATATATATATATATATGTATATATATATATACACACCATATTTCCCCATAGTTTGGGGTCCTTAAGTTCTTAAGATTCTTAAGGCTTCTTAAGGGTAATGCTAAGGATTTATATCATCAGTACTCGTAGTAGCGAGACGCTGGCGGCTTGGCAGGGCGTCGGAGGCAACATCGCCACCTGCCTGGCCGAGGTGGGGGCGACGTCCTCTTCTGTGCTTTTTCCGAACATGTAGTAACTTGTAGTAACTGTACTATAATGCCGTTCAGTGCAGAACTTCTTCCACACTGGCAGTGCTTGATCCGTTCGCGGATTGATGGGCAACGGATTGTCAAGGATTGGACTAGGCTGATGAGGTCGAATGCACCGGGTTTGAACACACGACTGTAGACAACCCCAGATTGAGGATGAGTCCTGTATGCTGCTGCATGGTACAGAATGCCGACCTCTTCGTTTTGCTTGCGCTTCGCAGTACAGCGGTCTCCTCTTTGGCGTCTTGGGCGTCATGGGAACCTGGTCTGGCAGGAGAGATTGGGCCCCTGCCTCATGCAACAAAAGCCAAAGACAGCTTTTGCAGCTTCTCTGGCATACCGAGGTCAAGTCCTACAATGCTTGGCTTTGGTTTAGACTGCTGTGCTACGGTGTCATGCTGATGCCCCGGTGGAATGCATCCTGAGAGAACCAGTGGTGGGCAAAGCGAGTACGAGGTATTTCTTTGACTTCCCGCTAATCGCTCACTGTGAAGACTTTGCTGCTCGACGGCATGCAAGCATGCAGCCCTGCAAGCCATGCGTCAGATTTCAGATGCAGTCTCACTGAGAGGTGAACAGTCTGCAACCGACCACGGAGAAGTATGGAACTGCACTTAGCGGCTGGGAGCGCCGGCCTGCAGTCTTGGCTTCAGGCACCATGTCATCTGCTTTTTAGGTTACAATCCGCTGATGTACAACATCGCAATGAACAGCCAGTGCTTTGCCCGGAGTGGCGCATACCCCCGGTTTTCTGTGCTCACATCATCACATCCGAGGTGTTCGAGCACACGGACACGGTTCCTTGTGTGTTCGATCTTGAATGTCGCCCTCATCATGTGCTCTCAATGCTGGTATTGCGACCCGTGGCCACATCCATCGGTCCATGATACTGCTTCGAAACGGTCAGACCGTTCGGATCACCTCGAGCCATTTCCCACGAGCTTCGTGGCATGAGGGCGTCCAACATTGATACCTTGCACTGCAATTGCACTGGCAGCTCATGTAGCCATGTACACAGAACTTCGCTGGGACGCTTGGGGTAAGTAGAAATGAATCCGGAGCAGCGGCTCATGCCGCCCGTTCCCAACATTGGCCTTGCGAAGTCACTTGAGGCTGGGCTTCGAACAGTGAGGGAGAGAGGAGAGAGAGGAGAGAGAGAAGCCCGTGGCCCGAATCCCCAAACTTCCTGGCACTTCGCTCCAGGCCATGTCAGAGTCGGAGCCACTGAGAAGCTTTGCGGCTGCTGCCAACCCTTTGCTGGCGAAGGCTTGGGCAGGTAATCGGTTTCGGCTGCCACTTCTGTGAGCGAACCTGCCGTGGTCAAGCAGGCAACAATGTGTAGCACCTGCATCATTGGCTTCTGGGCATCGGTCAAGCTTATGGACGAAGCCTCAGTGCACCCGAAACTTGCGGCGCGTCTACCCCAAGCATTGGTGGCTCTGAGGAACAGTTTGGGGACACTCTGAAGCCCCTTGTCCTGGCTGTGATGCTGGCGGGCTGCCTGGAAAAGGCAGTGGAGCTCTGTGCCGGGCCCAGCGCAGCCGTCACGCGCCAGAACAAAAAGCGGCTGCGAAGCTCCCAGGTGAGTTCTGCCTCAACAGGCAGGGCGGCCAGGGCGGCCAGGGCGGCCCTCGGTTCTCGCTCGAGTTTCTAGGTTCTAGTCTGGCGGATCTATGATGTTCTGTGCCATCATGTTGCGGAGGCTTGGCAGCCTGCTGTGGTGCGCACTGCAATGCCGCTGCAGCGTGCAGCCTTGCTACAGGATCTTTCGAAAGTGCCCTGGTACAGCAGCAGGTGCTTCCATCCTTACGAGTCATGTTCGGATGATTTCAAGACCGGCCACATGTGGCAAAGACGAGGTTCCAGCGTCCAGTGTCAAATCCCACTACGCCGGGCGGACTCGATCACTACACCACACTGGAAGCACTGCAGAGGGAAGAGGAGACTTGCATTCCCGAGGCGAGCCGAGATTTAACTACAGAAGCCTCAACAGTTCAGTCCCAAAGCGGCATTTGTCGGTAAGAGGTACAGTGTTGCGATTGAGGTTGATTTTGTTACTTGCGCTTACTTACAGTCCGTTATGTGAGAGTCCGTGGTGGGTTCTCGGTATCAGGCGCAGCTTCTCTTGTGTGGGTGTCTTGTGGGAAAGTCAAGGCGGGTTTACCGGCAAAGGAAGATATTTGTGTATTCGGACTAGTTCCTGATGGTTCTGCGAATATGTTTGGAACGTTGTTATGTGTACAGGCTTGCAGGCTCTGTCTGCACCCGACCGTGACGATACTGCCGCAGGTTTGGTGGGCTCTAGCGAACGTGAGCTAGCCGCAGATGCTTCGGAATGTTTCATTGCTTACCTTTATCAAAGTGTGTGCCCATGTCGTTGTGTGTGTGTGTGCGCGCACGTGGGGTTGGGTAATGCTTGCAGAAGTGGCTGTCAAGTGGTCCTGGAACACAGGATGCCTTCGCACCCTGGACCGACGAGAGCGCTGGTGCGTACTTTCTAGCCAGGCTGCGATTTGCCAGCAGAAGTCCCAACACATCCAGGGTTCAAACGCATCGTGTTGAATGCAGTCATGGGTGACACGGTCGAAGATAGACGTTCCGGCCATGTTGCTCCGAGGATTTCTATTGCTGCAGTACTTACTCTGGTGGGCCTGTTCCTGCTTCAAGTATCGGCATCCTTGATCGCTAGTGTGAACGCCTTGGACATCCACGTGTACAAGAAGGGCTATCAGGAGATAGAAGCGAAAGCGGCTTGACTCGGAAAGGTAGGGACGGCTGGCTGGCCAATCTTGTGCAGACTGGCATGGTCCTGAGCATCAAACAAGGTTTTGCAAGGCTTCGATTCTGCCAGTCCCAAGGTGAAGGCAGGTCTGCAATGTTGTCCTCGCGAAAGCATGTTTGCAAGCTATCCATGGTCATTCATAAAAGCGCTTGAAGCTGCGGTCCTCGATCAGGACAACCTCTCACGGCAGTTGGAGTCCTGGCCGCACCAGTCATGGCACAACAGCTGGTCACCACCGTGGAATCATCCCTGCGGCTTTTGTGCTGCCATGGGCCCCGCCGAACCATGCGCCTGTGTGCGTTGAGTGCATCCCGACATGTGTGGGGTGTGCGCCAATGGAGTCAGCGAAGTGAACATCCCAGGAATCCTTGCAGCAGCATCTCTCATCAATTGCTGTCACGGAGCTGAATGCCGTCCTTGCCGGCACGACGTCTCTCAGTTACAACGGCGGGAAGACACTGAGAGCATTCCTTCCTCCGCTTGCTTAGTGGACACCACGTGATGCTTTCCTCAGGAGCTTCTTTGTCCAAATTGTCATGTTCATGCTCTATGCATTTATGTGGCTTCTCTCGCCTGTGCGCAGCGGTGAGCACATCTTCCAAATTGTGCGTACCTATTTCATGTCGCGGGCCCAATCGACGGCATGACTGCGAAGCTTCAACAAGCGTTTCGAACTCAACGGATTGGATCAGTTGCTTAGGTACAAGGCCTTCTGCAATGCATTGTTTGCAGTCTGTGTTTGGTGCCTGCTCACTTTCATACGCCATTCGACTGCATTCCTTTCCCGACGTGAAGTCCCAATGAACGAGTCATGGCTCATGTGAAAGCTTGCTGTGACTAAGGCTGTGACCTGGTCATCGTCATCAGCATTCTTTGCTTCTTTCTTGGCTACCCTGCTGCACTTAACAGCAGCGCTGCTGTTGCAGGGCAGGTCGTCTGGCGGTCTAGCACGACTCCATAAATACGACTTACGGTACTGTGCTGGACGCGGCGAGTGTCCAAACTAAGGATTCATACCCGAGGTTGGTGCTTTTATCTCTCTGGCGGTCCCGCTGCCACTTCTCGTGTTGGACTCACGTCAGAGCATAGAGATGCGAGCCACCAATGCCTTGACGGCAGCCGCCGCCCCAGCAAGTCCTTCTAAGCATAGTTTGGGCGAATTTTTCTGTTAGTTAGCCAAGCTGTACTGCCAAAGCTAAAAGTGAGAAGGGTGAAGGGGTGCTGAGCCGATCTGTCCCAGACAGGTCGTCGGCATGTTGGCTATAAAGTTTGTTGTCTCCAATGGCATAGAGTCCTTCGTCATGGCCCGCAGCCCCGTGCTCGCGGGTCAAGTGGATGAGCATTCCAAATCCCATGAGACACATCCAGCACCTTGGTTATGGAGGCTCAGCATAAGCAGACTAGCAGCAGGCCATGCAATGGTCGCACGAGGTATTACAAGCGTGTGAAATCATGGTTGTCCAGTAGCTTAGCATAAACATGTGATGACACCCTGAGCACCTTCCGATCTGAGGTACTCATCCTCTTTGCTGTGGTACTGTCTGGGAATATATGGGGAGTGACAGGCGAGGCCCGTGAAGATGCAAAACGGCCCGAGACGAGCCAAAGTTCCTTGAGTCTTGAGGCATGCTGATTTCCGTGCCGATGCTCTCCCTGGCACGGTTTGTTCTAAACCTTGAGACCACGAAAGAAGCTGTACGACTCTTGCCTCAGCTAGCAGAAGCCTTCGTTATCCTTCGCGCATGAAGCAGCAAAGCCAGAGATTTGATTGAACAGCTTAGGAGCAGTGCAAATAATCTCTCCACGTCGCCTGGCATCAGACCGTGAAGTCTCCGTGCCGAAAGCATCTTGACTCCGAGACTGGCTAAGGACGGTTGCCGCAAAACTACATTAGCGAAATGGCCACTAGTGCGCGTAACAGCAAGACTTTTTCCAGGGAGAGCTCTAATGTTTGAGCTGCCTGGCTTTGATTCCTAACTTATTGCTGGGGCATGCCCGGCTGGTTTCTCCTGGCTGTTGTTTCCCAGTCTGGAATGCAGAGACGCCAGAATGGTAAAATCCATTCAATGCCATGCATGTCTCAACACCTGGACGCATGCGTAGACCAGACCTATGACGTGGATCCCACGTGTCCTGTCAATGCTTCGCCAAAAAGATCGGCCCTGTTGATGTGCAGCGTGCAGATCAGTGAGTTGGACCATGTCTCTGCATTGCGTCCAGAGTTCAGGTACTTGGCACAGGACTGAGAAGCTCGAATCACTAAAGTGCTAGAATGCCGCGGGGCCGTCGTGCTGCCGTGCTGCAACCCTAAGATTTGGGGCTCCACGGACTACATCGAGTTCACCGGCCCAAAGCTTAGCCTGCATGCCTGCCTGGGATGTATACAACTCGACGCGTTTCTTTGAAGAGGTCGCCTCCCCAAGCACCTTCTCAGAATGCCGAAAGACTTGACATCTGGTGCATTTTACTCGCACAGCCCAGTGCTTGGACTTCTCACGATGCGCGGGCCACTTTCTTGACGTGTGCGACCTGTACAGGTCTGGGTGAGAGGAGTGTGCTGAATGGCATGTGGGGCAAGTATGACCACCATCGCTTCTCAACTGCACAGCAGTACTTTGGCAATGCTCTGGCGGCGCCAGCTGTTTTTCTGAGGTGTCTCCGAGTTCCCCTTGTCCGGGGATCCCGTGCAAGTCAACGGCTCAGCTTACGGTTTGGGGATCAAACTCGGTGGGACCGAACTCGTGAGGTCTGAGCACTGACTCGTCTCACCCTTGTCTCTGCGGCGTGTGGAGCCTGCAGCGCAGGGGACAAAAAGCAATGCTTTCTTTTGCTGCCGTAGATGCTGTCACTTGGGGCTTGTCTCCTTTCTGTTCAGGGTGAGTAGGCTGAGAGTGCTGCAGCTGTATGCAGGCCGAATGGCTGGAAGACTGCTCGCAGCTGAAGAAACGGGCACGTGGACCACCCATTTGTGGGGAGGTGACTTCGGTCTCGCTTGAGCCCCAGCTGGAGCGGTGCCGCCGACTCGACGCTGGCATGGCTCCATCGCCGAAGTGACCCCAAGTCAAGCACGGACCTGAGCTGTCGGATAGCCGAGGTGTGAGATGGTGGGCGTTCATTGGGCAGATGCCTGGGCTCCGAAGGATCCGAAGGCTGCTACGCACCCTTGATGAGACCCGGGATGGTTCTGGATTCTGGTAGTTCGTTGAAGGATACTGCATGCTGTAGATCAGAAGTCCATGGCGCATGATGACACATACCATGATTCTTGACGACTCGATGCAGATTGCCATGCCAGCAGAGTGGGTGTGTGCCCAAGTTGAGAGTGAACCTACCACAGAGCTCCAAAGAACAGCGAGTCTGTGCCTCTTCGCCTAGGTCCATCCCTCCAGCATCCGACGCCTCAGCATGAACAATAGCCCTTCCGAGGGCTGGCTCTTGGGCGAGCATTGCCAGGCAGGCAAGTGAGACATGGGGCATCGGAAGAAAGCTCTCTCTCTCTCTCTCTCTCCCTCCCTCTACCTCCCTTCCTTCTCTCTCTCTCTCTGTGGCTGTGCGAGGCGTCCGAGAATCCCTCTTCGCCCTGTGCCGTCTTGACACGGCACGGACCTTCGTTTAACTGGCTTCTGACGAAAGCATATTGCAACTGCCAAGGACCACCACCCACACGACTGTGAAATGGGCGAGTGGTCTTGAGGACGCGCCACTCTTCGGTCTCGTACTTTTGTGTTTCCTTGCTCGGCCTCAGGAAGACATTGTCTCCGTGGATCTCATGCCGAGGCCAGTCACGTCGCAATCTGTGTTGCAGGTCAGCTGAGACGAACAGTCTCTGATGTGCAGGCAAGCCTTCTATTCGCACGATTTCCTTCCACACGACTTTGTCGCAAGGTGGGGAGCTCGAAGTGTGGATGTTGTGATGTTGCGCATGACTTTGGCAGACTTTTGGACGAATGATTTCACCTCGGACTCTGTTTGGCAGGACAGCGGATGTGGATCGGCTTGTCCCTCCACGAGTGGCAATCTCAGAAGCAAGAGCCAGTCATGCTTTCCGACAGTGGGGAGCAGAGGAGGCTCTGCACTTGCAGGTCGAAACACTGCAGACTCCCAGTCCCAACTTTACCTTCCAGGATCGGGCACTTCGGGTTTCATTCTGTCCACGTGAGGTGTGACCTGCAATAACTTGCAGTATCTGCCTGGCAGGATGGGTCTGTTCAATATGGATCGACCCAGACACAGAGCGAAACGAACGAGGCTTCCGCAGCGCAGGATGTGCAAACAGCTGCATTTTGTCTCGTCCGGAACTGTCTCAGGATTGCAGAAACAGTGCTGCGCTTAGCTCGTACCGAAGACCGTCTCTCATGATCGCAAGTTTACTGTGTTAACTGCCAGTTGACAAGAAGTGACTGTGCGAGTTCCCGCAAGGAGAGCTTTTTTCGACCTTCTTGGGGGAGGCGAGGGCTTTTCTTGACAACACTTTGTCACAGGCTGTGCAGTCTGGTCTCCCTACTTCAGACCATGACAGTGAAGCGATTTTCGTTCGTGTACCTGCGAGCGGCGAAGAGTTTTGATGGCGAAGCGTCAGTGTGCAACATCAGCGCTAGGGCTAGGGCACTCGTCGCACAGCTGTGACAGCAGTTTGACAGTTTCAGCTTCGACTTCTCGCTCGCCTTTCCAGGTGAACAACGAGGACGCGGCCTGAGCGGCTAACCGGCTAACCGCCAGACCTTGAGTCTGGAAGAGAACGGGCACGTTCCGGAAGGAGATCATTCCCGCCCCTCCGCCGATGGCCAGCCGGGACACGCTTGACCCAAATCGATTGGGAAGCTTTAGGAACTTGCCTTTGCAGCACCAGGCGAGGCAAGTTCCTATGGGCGTCGTTCAAAGCGTGGACCTGAAGGCCTGAAGCCGAAGAAGCGCTTTCGCACCGCCTTGGCTGCTCACTCCTGACAGGCCCGCACAGCCTTGGTGGAGTGGCGGTGCTCTCTGCAGGAGAATCCGCAGGAGGCTCCTCGGCCCATTGTGGGGGATAAGGCATCGGTCCATTGTGCCACATAGTTATACAGATCTGTATAGTCGAAAGTTCGAATTATGAATGTGCAAATTATCGTAGTATTTTTCAAGAGCATCTTCCCTGGCGGCCTTAAGGTCAGCTTGTTCGAGCTGGCACCGCATCCACTCGTCGATGTTCGCCTGGCAGACATCGTCTTTATTCCACCCCAACATTTGTCTCAGGACACGAGGGCCACGAGGGTTCCGTTTCCGCGGATTTGTTGCCTGTTCCATGCACCCAAACTTGCATACGTCCAAGACGCTCTGGGAGGACAAAGGAAACTGGGTCGGCCGGGTGACAGCCTTCTCCGGCTTCTCTGCGCAGGTCCAGCTAGTCTGTGGCCCGAGCCCTACTGCCCTACTGTTGCAGAGCCCCGGGAAAACGGAGAGACATCTGCTCTTCGAAGGCAGGAGTGAGTGGTTCGATGTCGAATCCTTGTTGGGACCTCGAACGCTTCTTGGGAGTTGGGTGCCGGTGGCGGTCGTCTTGTCCTTGCCTTGCATGTGCTGTTCAAGCTAGGAGTTCATGCAGTCCGTGCTGTGTGCTGAAAGGAGCATTGCCGACATGGACGGGCACTACGACCCCGCCTTAGTGGAGTTCCGTTTGATTGACATAAATTGAGCGATCACTGATGCACCTCGCCAGCTCGCTACTCCGGGTTACTGCCGGAATAGTAGTGCAGTGCCACTTCGCCATGTCTGATCATGACAAGGTTCAGTCAACAGTCGAAAGCCAGGGTTGAAAATCTCAGGAGAGCTCCGTGTCTTCCGACGAGGCTCGAAAGTTGCTCTGGAAGTGCCTGGAGACATCCGAGCTACTCGTATCTCTCCTCGTCTGTCGTACGTGTGCAGGAACCGGAAGTCATTTGGGTGAAGGAGGGGCCGGACATGACGGACGCGCGCTGCCCAGTAACGGCCAGATGACAGAGACGCCCTGCCCGCAGCCCGCAAGTCGTTTCAGGAGCCGTGCCGAGCTTGCGGCAGTCGGGATGCGAGCCCTGGGCTCAGCTCAGAAGGAGTGGGGGTGGTGGCTCCAGGCAAAGCAGCCCGGTTTTTACCCAGGCCCGAGTCGGGAGGCCGAAAGAGAGGAGGCGTCGCCCCGCGCCGAAGTGACGAAGAGCTGGCGCCAGATTTTCACACGAGGTCTGCGAGCACTGCGAGCAGTCCCAAAGCGAGACCTCGGAAGGCAAGATAGAGTCTCGCTGCAAGATGGGGCTTTCCAATTCTTGTACGAACTGCATGAGGCTCCTCCTCGTCTACGAGGGCGCCAGAAATCCTGGCTTTCGATGTGCTGCAAGAGGCCATACGGTGTACTGCTCAACCATTCTATGATAGAGTTCAGCGATGATGTAGCATATGCGGCAAGCACTTGCCAACAAGGATCTTAGCCCACTGGACCGGAGCTGAGACAAACCTGGCCATGTGGGAACACCGTTCGATCAGTCGAGTGCCCTTCGCATCTTCTGTCCTGAAGGATCACAAATTCGTGGACCGCCCCTCTCCTGCTCCGAAGGCGGCTGCATCTCTCAGAAGTGTTCTGAGTTCTGCGACAAAATGAGTTTTGCTAGGTGCTGATGCGAGCAGTGAGGCTGGAGACGAAAGCAGTTCGGCGGAGCTGCAGTGCGCTGAAGCGAGGCGAGAGCACTCAGTCTTGCAGAAGGGCCTTCTCGATGGAGGAGAAGGCGTGGCGCTTGGCGCTTCACGAAGTCAGACGATGTGTGTCTGCATCTGATGCAGTTTCGCAGACAGGCGTAGTTGCGCCCATCATGGTGCGCACTTACTCTTCCAGATGTGACCTGTTCCGAGCAATGGCACATGCCCCAGCGTTGCGGGTGTCACTGCGGTCGTCAACAGGGGTGGTTGCACAGGAACAGCAGGCCAAAGGGAGTGTGGAAGAAGATCAGCGATATGAATGCTTGTTCAATTGTTCTGCAGTACCCTCGGCAGAGGCGATGTGCCTCTGCCTGCATTCCGACAATTATAACAAATCACCTACCTAGACCTACTAGTAGCTGTTGGGTGCTCAAGGTAAGAAGTGCCTGCCAGCCCGATTAGCTCCTCAACTTCAGAAGCCAGCCTTGATCCTCGTTCGATTCTGAGGTGGTTGGTCCGCCCGGCACGCCCTACTCGGACGTGCCGTTCTTCTTTGATCTGTCCCTGTCTCCCCAGTGCGCCCTTTGTCCCTAGACTTGTTTGCCGGTAAGTTCACGCAGGCACCGAAAGCCAGAAAGGCAGGATCTAGAAGTAATGCGAGACGTCAGCAGTCTTTGAGGTACCCGTCTGAGCCTCCTTTGGTGCACTTCATGGCAAACTACGCAGCTCCGATGCACTTGCGGCCGAGATGTGCCAACAGACAAGCCGTGACCACCTACAGGTCAGCAGTTGTGAGAAGTTGAACCCGAATCTCTACAACGACGGCAAGGCCTTGGCCCGTCTTCTCGCGCGACTCCTCACGCTGTGCCGCGACCAGGTCTGCCTCAGCATACTCGGTACTTGGGCGGGACCTGGCTGGGATCCACAAAAGTCTACACTTCTCCAGGCTGAGCTTTGTTCCATGTCAGCTCTGTGCATCCATGCTGAACAGCCCTCTGCCGAGAAGTTTTCACTGATGCAGGAGAGCGGGTATCGGAATCAGTATTCACTCCTCCTCCTCCTCTTCCCACTACTATCTACTACTAACTACAACTACTACTACTACTACTACTACTACTACTACTATCTACTACTAACTACTACTACTACTACTACTACTACCATCTACTACTAACTACTACTACTACTACTACTACTACTACTACGATGCCACTGCTACTGCTACTGCTGCTACTACTACTACTACTACCACTACTACTACTACTACCACCACCTACTACTACTACTACTACTACTACTACTACTACGATGCCACTGCTACTGCTACTGCTACTGCTACTGCTACTGCTACGACGACGACGACGCATCCTCCTACTACTACTACTACTACTACTACTACACCACTTCTGTTGCTGCTGCTTCTGCTGCTTCTGCTGCTTCTGCTGCCTCTGCTGCTATTGCTATGGCTATCGTTGGCACCGTTGCAGGTTGCAGCTGGGAAAGGATAATCGTACCACACTCAACAGTGCATGTGCATGCTGGCAGGTGTTGATTTCGCTGCAAGGCTTGGTGCTGGTGGAGGCGCGACGAGTGTCACCTGATGAGCACGTGCGCAAATTAGCCCCGTGGCAGGACCCGTACTTCAACGAGCCTGGCCACGAATGCTGGGACCCTACTCCTGAATGCTGCAGATTGCTGCAGGCATGGCTGTGTAGTGCCTCGATGTGCCCCATGTCCTGCAGGGGAGTGCAATAGCGAGCACGGCCGAAATGCCTCGGCTCTGCGCGCCCCCGAGAGATCCCGAGAAAGGAAGCGCCAGACATCCGAACTGAGCCTGAGAGGTACAATGAGAATGTGCGGCTTCTGGTCTTACGCACTGCACTCAACGTGTCCAAGCAGCCTCCCTCCGGCTTCGAGGAGGTTGGGTTGAGCCAACCTGTGTACCTGTTCCTAGCATCTCGGTTGAAAACATCTTCAGATCGTGGCCTCGCACTTCGCCCGACATGGGCCGCGGCTGCTCGGGGAGTGTGAAGAGGCACGGCAACGCATGGCAATGCATCAGCTCCCACACAACTCAAGCCCTCATGCATGCTGGTTGAGTACAGTTATGTAACATGTAGTAATGTAGTATCGTGCCTACAGAATGCTAGAGATGAATCTGGAGTTGCTGTGATCCATTGAAAATAACGGGAGTACTGACAGGCTTTGCTCGAAGTCAATGCTGGCCGCAGCAGCGAGGGTTTTCGCAAGGTCGGCAACTCAGTAATTCCAGTAAGTGATCTATGGCATCTATGGCCTGTGATAGTACCAGACAGTACTGAGGTCTTGGCGAGAAACCTCGTGCCAGGGCTGCGGGAACAATGGGGAACCGCAGCCTCACCGGCCATGTAGAAGTTAACTTCCTCAGCCACCCTCTCCGACACAACCCACAGCATCGCATCTCTTTTTCATCCTCGCAGTTAAGCTGCCCACTTGGGTAATGCACCGTGTAGCTCTGCGCGGCATGGAGCGACTCCGTTCCGCGGCTCGCTGTTGAGAATTGCAGTCTCTTCGCAGGAAATGTACAGGCGCCACCATCCAAAGCAACCGGAAGCGTCCCAGCTCTGGCAGCTCGACAGTAGGCTTAATTAGTCACTTGACCTGATGCTGATGTTCTTGGAAGCTGCTAAAGGGACCAATGTTGTTGGATGCAAAGGCTGAGAAGTGCGACGAGAGTGCAGAAAAAGATATCCCTGAAGACTAAAGCGATTAAAGTGACTAAAGATCACCAAAAGCAGAAGCTGGAATTTTTCGATGTGTGCCTTCAGTCAGAGCTAGCTCTCAGAGCCAGGAGCAGCTGACGGCCTACGTGGGAACCCACCAGGCGCGCCGGTTTGGGGGGCTTTTCAGCGGTTTTGTTTTTGTGCGCGGCCGCTCCGACATTCGACGACACTCGACTCGCTCTGCAGGAGCTCTTCACGCGCTTCCAAACCGCAGTGGAGCAGCTCGACACAGAAAAAGACATGCGCAAGGCGTGGTGGAAAGCTTGGGCTTACCCGGAGAAGCTGACTGTCAGTGATGTGCTTGGATGCAGTCTTCACGTTCACGGCAGAAAGTGGTGTCGGAGCGCGACGACCTGATCAAGACCCGGGACGAGATTGCCCGGGCCCGGGACGAGATTGCCCGGGCACTTGAGCTCGCTGACACCTCAGTGGAACTCCGTGAACGGGTCTGAAGCTGCACCACAGCGCATGGAGTCAGGAGAGAGACAAGGCGGAGCAAGAGCGGATGCATGCAGAGCAAGCCCGCAAGGCCCCAAAAGTCACTGTCTAGCTTCAGTGCCGTGCTGCGCTGCGCCGCGAAGCCTGGGCCAGGAGCTTGCAGAAGCGGAACCTCCAGGGCCCGCACAGCTGACAGTGAACGACGCCCGCGTCCTAGAGCTGAGGGACAGCTGGGACAGCTGGGGTGATCCCGGGTCTGCTATGGCTTCTGAAAATCGGTGCTTCCAACATCGGAATGATCCTCCCTTTGACAGAGGTTCTCATCTCCGTGTGCTTCGAGGAAGTAAAGGGGGCGCCCCTGGAAGTGAAGCCGTGGGACACCAACTTCGAGGTGCGACGCATGCTTGCGGGAGCCAAGGGGTGACGAAGGCAGAAGATGCAGAAGAGCGCTCATAAGTCGAACCATCTTCAGTTCTTTGTCGTTGAAAGCTGTTCGCGGTACTGCGCCGGAGTCTGCCAAAGAGGTATTGTGCCCCGTGGCAGGAGGTGGTGAGCAGTTGGCTGCAGGCTGCGCAGCGTTCGCAGAATCTGCAATCGAGCCTTGTGCGGTGCTACCCCGCGCCATTGCCCTTGGTGCACAGGACTCTGCGACAGAGAAGCAAGTATGAGGATTGCTTGGTATTTGTGCTTGAGGAGTTTAGAATCATCCAGGGAAGCCTAGCAATTAGGTAGTAGTCTTTGTCTTGGCGCACAGCTTTCGGCTCACAGATGCTCTGCACCTTCGCACGAGACCTTCGCCAAGCTTTAGCCTGCCGTGCGTGATCACCATGCACACTGTGTTCACTGCTAACTGCACACCAGCTGCAACTCTGCGGCTACAGCCGCTGCTCCACTTGATGCAAGACAGCGTGTCCTTGCGGTGTGGCACATGCTCATCCAGCCTACGCACCTCAACTGCACTGTACGGGCATGTGTCAGCATACTCTGGCAGACCGCAGCCCGCAAACGTTTCAGAGGTTGCCCTTCGGTGAGTCCGAGGGCTTGCCAGCGAGGTGGCAGGACCGTGCACAGCTGGCAGCTGATTCAGCTGATCGCTTTGGGCCGCCAGGACCACTCACCGACGCACCAGCCAAAGTGGCACAAGCATGTGAAGTCCAAGGCGCCTCAGGCCCGTACTGTCAAATCTGCAGAGATTGATGTAGTGCTTTGAGGGCCAGCTTGCTAGATTTGTGCTACGTGCCTCCAACTTCAGCATATAGCACCTAGTTGCCTAAATCGTGGCACGCGGCGGTTGCCAAGCGCCTGGCGCTCATGAGCTTCGCAGGAAAACGTCCTCACGGTGTCCGGCTTGCAGGAGGTCTGTGGCCTTGCCTTTCGCCAGGAGGACCGAACTTCGACTCGAAGTCACAATTGCAATCTCAGCCTGCGAGGACAGGCTTCTCTCACGTGGAGCTCTAGACGCAGCCCAAAGTCGGCGCGGCTTCGGCCAGGCGCAGAGCGGCAGACTTGTCCTGTGATGGACATCGAAGTCTGGTGGGAGGTGGTCCTCCGGCTGTTTCCGGAGGGAGCGCCTGTCCCTTATGGGACCACCCTCTTGGACCACGTTTTCTCAGCACTTTGGCTATCCAAAATATGCCATGGACTTGCGGTCAAGGTGAGCAGACATGAGCAGTGCATGTCACAATGCAGAAAAATGCACCTTGTTGAAGCTGGAATGCCGCTCATTGCAGCATAGTGGCTGTGGCATGCTTGGCATCCAAAGGATAAGATCGGTGGATGCATCGCTGAGGGTTGATTTCGTCTGAAAAAGCACCATGCTACTGTATCGAATGTGAATGAGGGAGCCTTGTAAATTCGACATGCCTTGGCCCTGCAAGGAAGTCTCTCCGGGTGTGGTTTCGAAAAACCAAGCTGCTGATAGCATCTTTTTGCTTGCCTGCATTACTGCCGTGCTTTCCGAGTGTCAAATTCTGAAGTGCCACACGGCCACACGCCGGCGCAGTCTTGCGACATGATACTTTGCTTTTGATGCCTCGTGTGCGGAAAGTGCAAACATCAAGTCAATCCAAGCCTGAAGCCCGAAGCCGTAGTGCGCCACCTGATGCTGCCACGAACCGAGAGCCAGGCACAAAGTTGCTGTGAGTCCTTTGACGGGGGCTGCCTGTACCTCTCCGACCTCAATTTCCCACCGTTAATTGAAGTAGGTGTGCATTGAACAACTGGAGTTACGGATATGGGGGTTTCCAGAAGCTTTGTAGCCGCTTGAATTCGCACGCGCAGCTTTCGGGGTATACCGGCGACAAGACTTGGGCTGATTTCAAAGCCTGGACTGCAGGAACCTTGTGGTGTTAAACTTTGCAACCTGCCACAACATAAGTAGGAAACAGGTGAGATTGGGGGTTTGCCTGCTCAGCGAGTTTGACCGAGACCGAGGAGTGCGACCAGGATTTCGATGGGCTGCTGCTCTGGGAGGACTTCCAGGAATTCGTCCTCCGCGGTCTACAGCCGCTGCTCAAAGGCGCGACAGAGCTGGGCTTTAGCAGCACCGCAAGGGCGATTTGAGGCTGTCGGCCGTGCGTGTCATGATGGGAGGTCAGAAGACGGGACAGAGCGCTGCAGTGAAGGCCATGCTGCCCATGGCCCCGCGCCTGCGACCGTCGCGCGGAGGGCAGAGTCTCCTTGGGCTCGTCCAGCCCAGACCTTCGCACAGAAGGCAAGCAATCTGCAGGCGCCGTGAAATCCACCATCATCTCACGACATGAGCGTGGGTTTAACATAGGCATATCAGCCGGTGCAGAAAGTGGTGGAGGAGGTCACCAAGCTTCCAGCAGTGAGCGACTGAGGGAACCCAATAACCAGTGCTTCATCCTCAATTTCTGCAGTATTCTGCAAAGGAAACTCCGTCAAGTGCCACGCCGACGGTGCTGAAGGATCGAACCTGCCTGCTCAGCGCTCAGATAGCCGAGTGCCACCCGGTCACGCTACAAGGATCCATCAGGAAAATCCCGGGCCGTCGGCTTCGCAAACGTTGCGATGGTGCCGAGCGCCCGAGATATGACAGACTTGCTGAAGGACCATGAAGCACATCTAGTGAGAAATATCAAGTGTGAAACAGTAGCTGGAAGGAGTACACGTTCCCGGAGAATGATGCTGCTTTGGGACGGGGTGCTTTCGGCACAGTTATGAAGGTGACCCACAACGGCCGGAGCCTTGGATTTGATAGAGATGATCCGGTGCCTCCTTTCATCCCTGCCTGAAGCGCCGAAAGTCTTGCCCCATTGAAAGCTGCAAGCTGGGTGTCGGGAAACAGGGTCGGGGTGAGTCCAGGGAAACGGACCCCGCTAAAATCCGAAGTCGCTAAGCTCTGTTGCTACCACCGACCAGCATTACGGAAGAAGATTCGCAGAGTCGGTAGTTGCGCTTGCAGGAACAAGTCCTCAATCGTGCCTTGCCCTGATTGCAGTAGTCGACATCGTTGAATTGCACAGTGCATCGCCCGGTATTGGTGGGGCGGGGGCAGTTTTTACTCGGACTTTCCTGAGCCCTGCACGAACAATCTCGGGAAAAGTTGGTTTGCTGAGGGTTCGAAACGGTCTCGAACCATCCCCCGCTAAGCAGGATGCTTGCCCGTCCTTCTGTGACCCAGTGATTCTTCAGGCACTGGCGAGGTGCGGGCCATGAAGGCGGTGCGCCTTTCGGATGGTGCGGATTCCGCGCAGCTTCGGGAGCTTCTGAGAGAGAGAGCTACTAGTAGCCCGAGCTAGCCTAAGCCAAGCTCTTTCATTAAAACAAGCCTTAACAAAAGCCCTTCATGAGGCTTTGGAGTGCTTGGCTGCTCCAGGAGCTGGTGGAGTTAGAGGTCTCCATGCTCAAGAGCCTGGATCACGTGAACTTGCTGCGTCTCCATGAAGCCTTCCGAGATTCCGAGAGCTTCGCCCTCGGGAGGATAGCAGGTCTTTGAAAATGCTTGGAAACGGTGGCTCGCATCCAGAGGCTGCATGTACCTGATCACTGAGCTCTGTGCCGGCGGCTCGCTGGCTGAGCGCTTGGAGCAGCAAAGGACGGGCTTCAAGATTCAAGTCACTTTGTGATACCGACATCTCAGGGTTTTGTCATGTACGAGCAGGACGCTCCGCAAGCCAATGTTGGAGGGCATGGCAGCGGCCTATGCCGAGCAAATTCTCAGTGCTGCCAGCTACTGCCATGATCGAGGAGCCGCGGATGCTCGTATCCTGTTCCTAAAGGAGTCTTCAAAGACTTCGCCGTTTTTGTCGGCCCTTCTTGCGAGTCGGTTCAGGAGTACTTCACAGGGACCTGAAGCCGGAGAACGTCTTGTTCTTGACGCCGCGCTCGGACAGTCCGGTGAAGGTGATCGACTTTGGGCTGTCACGCGACGGCATTCGGAGAGATCTGCGATTTGCTCCACACGCTTCGCATTGGAAGGTCCGACACCATGGAGCGGATTCGGCAGAATTGCACGCAGGTGGGGAGCCCATTAAAATGTTGGCGACTCGGAGCGGCAACGCGCTTCCGGCAGGAGATTCATGATCGTTCTGGTGCTCTTGGCGCAGTGGCTCGCCTGCTGCCAAAGTTGCCTGGAGGCCGGTGGCGATTTTGTGACATCGACCAGCGTGACCCCACTTCTGCAAGGACTGGAGATTTTAGCAACAAAGGAGACGAAAGAGGCCTGAGCTGCTGGGGCGTTGCAGGGCAGACTGCGCAGCGTGCTGGCCACCGTCGTGGAAGGTAATGCAAAGAGCTGGAACGCCTCACTACATGGCTCCAGAGGCGGGACTAGCGAGCTGTGGCGGAGCTTCTACGGCCGTTTTCCAACTTTGATTTGCGGGGCGCTTCGGCCGCCGCAGGTCTACACGGGTATGTACGGCGACAGGGCCGACGTCTGGTCGTCGCTGAGCTAAGTTGATTGGAACGTTGTGCCGGGATTGCGGGGAAGCGGACGTAAGCAGACGTAAGCTAGGATCGGGGTCATCCTCTTCGAGATGCTTTCGAATCGCCATCCCTTCTACACCAGTGGAAACGACCTGGAAGCTGCCGCTCGGCAAGGACACGTACCCAGCGAGTCCCTTCGGCCGCCTTAGACACTTCAGGTGAAGCGTCGAATCTTGAGCCCGGACGGGGCCGACTTCTGTGATCCGTCTTGGGGCGAGGCAGAGAGAACCATTCTGTGAGTAGATGAGTTACTAGCTAAATACGGCAGGCAGCGAGCCGGTCGGTCAGTCGGTCGGGGTTTCTCTGATCGGAATCAATTGTCATGTCATGTGAAGACGCGTGGCTTCGCAGCGTAGCAAGCCAGTATGACTAGTAGATGACTTCCCTGTCGCAGAGTCAGACATGTTCGCATGCAGTTTCATTCATGCACATCACGCCATGTTGCGCCCCTGCACCCAGAGACTCCCGCGCTTCGACTGAGCTGGTTGGAAGGTGACCGCGGCTGCGCAACGAGCCTGCAGAGAATGCCTGATGCGTCTCCATCCTGATTGTTAACAGACAGCAGCATCTCGATGCTCCGGAACCTTCAAAGAAATCAGAATTTCAGCTCTTGCACACACAGGTTGCATCTTTTCGCCGCATGGTTTCTGGAAGATGCGAGCCAGTGAGCCAGGTTGGACCCAGATCGGCGACCATCTGCTCAGCGCATGTTGGCACATAAGTGGTCCCCGTCCCAGTCCACAGCTGCAATCGCAACTACTGCAACGGCTCTTCGAGACCCTGGATGAGTTTGCATGCATGCTCTGGGTCCCGGGCCCCCACCCCCTGCGCGGCTTCCCTGCCCCCCGCCCCCACACCCTATGGTTCCCCACCCCTGCCCTGTGTGGAAAGCGCCAATCTACGCAGAGGGTTGTATGGCGATGGTGATGGTGGCAGCTATTCTTTTGATAGTACTGATGATGAAGATGACGACGGCAATGATGATGTTGAGCATGATGTCAAAGATGATCTAGTTGTCCACTCGCGTCGCCGCCTAGAGCAGCACAGCATCATGAGCAGTACCACCGGTGCCACAGCAAGAAGCAAGATAAAGAGTAACACATAAGAACTTCAAGAACGGCGGATGCGGGCCGCACAACCATATGGTAGACATGAATGGTGGTGGAGAAGATCAGAACAAGTGCCTTAAAGTTCCACGTAACAGTAGTTGAGTCACTAATCGTGACAGTGTTACACGTGTTCCAATGCAGGCCACCAAAGCCTCAGCCAAGGGGGAGGATGCCATGGGGTGGGGGGAGGGGAGGGCCATGTTTCGGCAATGGTGAGGTTTGACACAGTGCCTCGGCTGGCTTTGGGCATGTCCGGAGGCATGGACAGCGGACGCTCAGGACCGACATGTCTTCTTGCTAGCTGCAGGTTTGTGCGCAATATCGGCTGTTATGCTCTGGATTCCTTTGATGTTCGCAGGTTTCTTGGCCTTGGCCAGATCTCCACCGCGGATTGCGGCTTCACAGGTCTGTTCCGTCTTGCTTGACCTTGCGGACGCGCACTAATCCATTCCAGATCTTGAACCCATTTGATGTCTCGTTCGCATGGAATCGTGCCATCGGCCATGTGAGTCTAGCATAGCTTCGCAGCCGTATCGGATCAAGGGAGCGATCTATTCTTCTAGCTAAGCCGAACTATCGATGGCTGAGGCCTGGGAGACAACTTGTTGTAGAATCGAGTTCGCACAACAAGACGGGATCTTGTGAGGCACAGAGTGCCTTGCACCGGCTAGCTGAGAGCCCTTGGGACAAGCAGGAGAACTGCATCGTCTTCACTTGGGTTTCTTCCTAATGCCGCTACCTTTGCAGGAGACCTGCTACATCACCCTCCTCAAAGTGCTCAACAACATCGTGGAGCACCCGGCAGAGGCCGAAGGGCCGAAGGGAAAAAAGAAAGGCTCTGAGAGGCTCTCGAGGCCGCAGACCTTCCGAGGCAAAGTTCCGGCACCTGAAAACCTCCAACGCCGCGCTGCGCGCCAAGGTGCTCTCTGTGGTTTTTGGAGCCCTCTTTTAAGGTCTTCCAGTTCTCTTGTTTTTGTTTGCAGGTTTTCGACCTGCCGGGCGCCAAAGAGTTCCTTCTTAGCTCTGGCTTCACAGAAGAGGAGGGTGGCGAGGTGCTGGCGTCTCGGCTGATATATTCCGTCCTGGGATGAGGAGTCGTGCAGGGCTACCTATAGGTCCATACGAACTGCCGGAGAGTGTTTCGCTCTTGCAGAGTTGCTTACTTCAGCAACCGCTCTTACGAATTGGGGCTCCCTGACGCCTTCCAGCTCAAGTCTCCCGTGGACGGATCACCAATGCATGGCATAGCTACAACCTTGGAGAAGACTACTGTTTGACATGTGGCCCAGGATTGTCCGGCTGGGCAAGAAGCCAAGATTGCTGCAGCTCGGGACTGCCTCAAGAAGCATGCCGATGACGAGCACCTTGGCCAGACGTGGCGTCTCTGTAGAAGTATAAGTTGCATATCGTATACTCTGTCAATCTATCCTATGACCCCTGATACAGCATTGTGGCTACTAAGGTAGGGCTCGACAGTAGTCTTTCTGCTCACCGGCCGATGGCTAGGGTCCAGATCGCGATTGCTCCTGAGGAAGATGAACGAACTGCGGCGCCAGCGCGACTTGAAGATTGCCGAGGCATCTTCCCTGGAGCTCAGCTGGCCCAGTGAGAGTCAGAGCCTTTAAGTCTTTCTCTAAGGAGAAGGCGAAGTCGAAGAGAGATCCCTTCACATGCCACAAGGAGTTGGCGACCACAGACTCCTGGCTCGAAATCAGAAATGTCGCCAGGTGAGGCGAGGTCTCCTCAACTCCTGCCCTCTCAGGAAGAAGAGAGAGCAGAGCTGCGGAAGGACCGGCCTTGTCGGGCTATCAGCTGCCAGGGCAGGGCCTGCAGGGCTTCCAAGCTGCAGGCGCTTGAGCGCGATCGCCTGGAGCTGGCAGCAGAGATCGCGGCACGGGGCCCGACGCAATCGTCCAAGGCAGGATGAACTGTGCCGTCAGCCGACTGTTGAACTGTCGCAGCCCAGCTTTGCTCCGGAAAGCAAATTCCTCAATCCTCAACCTCCAAAACGAACGGGAGTGTTCGCCGTGATAGATGCCGAACATGAACCACAGTGTTTGTGCACCAGCCTAGCTGAACTTCGCAGGGAACAGCAAATTGAGGGTCACAAGACCTGACGTCGTATCAAGATACTAGTAGGTTCCAGGCGGGGTTCTCTTTCGGCAGTGTAGAGGTATTTTCGAAACTTTGGAGGACTCTGGAGGACAACCATGTAACCAAGACTCCTAGGATTCTGGATTTCATCAAGAGCACAGAACTGTCTTGCTGGGATTTCCTTTTGGATTTTCGTCGAGCATGTCTTGGGAATTCGTGCATCGAATCGTGTCTCCGAAAAGTGGTTTCTGCCCACACCTTTTCTGTGCGGTTTTTTCGGGTCCTGCTTCTTATTCTTCGCTCCACCTTCGACCAGGGCAATCAATCACACGAGCCTCAAGACTATTGGCGGACATGTGTCTGTTGTTGGCCCGAAGCAGGCAATCTCTGTAGTTCGGAATCCTCCAAGACCGCTTCGGGAAGAGAACTGAACCCCAATGATGCTGACGCGATGCTAGCGCCAACCTCTTCAGCGTGCTCAAATCTGGGTGGTAGTGACCAGAGGGTGTCCGGGCGTTGAGCCTCGGATGTCACAATCCGGCATGGCACGGTGCTTGGTAGCTGTATCCTTCCTCCTTTGCCTGTCCATGTGTCTGCAGTATTCAACATAGTCTACGGCCGTCCGTCGAGTAGACTTGTAAAGCTTTGTCGAGACTTGGACAGCAACCGTAGAAGCCGCTTGCACCGAATGCAGGGCCTAATGCCAGAATCTGTTTGCAGACTGTTAGGGTAGTCAACATTCATTGTGCCCGCTCTGCTCCCAGACCACGGGAGACTCCCAAGCTTATAGACTTATAGCTCAACCTCCTGGTCGCAAGATCCCAGTCATTGTATGAGAGGCTGATGAGAACTCGAAAGGCCAGGTCTAGCGGTCAGCGAGTCTTTGGCCTCGCCAGGCAACCGACTTGAAGTTCGGCGCCCACGAGGCGCGGCCAGACTGCGGCAAGGCCGGTGGCGGCTGAGCCTAAGCTGGCTGGACAGCCGCTTTGGCAGCAGCAGATTTCATTCTGCACGCGCTCTGGGAACTGCGGACCGTCATGTCCGTCGGACCGAGGCCAGCCAGTTGCTGATCCCTTCTCAGGCAGTTCAGGAGACCCACAACGGAGTGGAAGTTGCGTGCACAGCGCTATCATGTCGCATGCATGGTAAAAACACACACACACACTTGTCCTTGTATGCTTTCGACTGGAATGTGGGTCTCCTGGATGTGGCGGTATGATGGTAGTGTTTCCAGTTTCTGGAAGAGGCCCTTTGTGCCCTTGGTCTAGGCCTGCATGTGAAGAGAAGTCGCCCACGTTGGGTTCCAAGACTTCTCTGAGAGCTTCTCACTTCAGCAGCGCACGGTTCAGACTCAGAGACACCATGACATCCTAGCGGCCGCTGGGGGCCTAGCGCCCAAGCTGTGCGCTGCGGGAGTGATCAGGACCTAGTGGGATTCGCGGACCTGTTCTGCAGTCTCGGAGCCGCTCTCTGCGAGCGCAGCCCGTTCTTAGACTTAGGTGAGCCCGTTTGAAGGGGATGTGACTGTCATCGCTGATGGCTCGGTCTTTATGCCCTTGGTTCCTGGGCTTGCGGTTCGAATCGGACGGACTAGCAACACGAGCTCAGTAAGAAGTTCCTATGATTCTCGCAAGGCCCTGACCCCCCGGTTTCGTCAGGCACTTGTGGCGAAAGGCAGCAACGTTGGACTCGTCCAAGCAAGTCTCAACGTCGCAGATCTGAAGATTTCCAGAAGACAACTGCTGCTTGAACAACTGCATGGCATGACGTTTATTTCAAGCCTTGTACAGATGAATTCTGAGTTGATCGGGGAAACGCCGAGTGCGATGCCCGGTTGATCCGCGCAGACTCTGAGGGACAATGCTGGACAGACGTTTCTGGCAAAATGCTGCATCACTGCTGACTATCCCAGACCATGCTCGAGTTCAAGATCCCAATCCACGAAAGCACCTGCAGAGCTGTGAACATCAGTAGTTCACCGTGTCCGTGCGCTTCATAGCAAACAGTGGCTCTAGCGTCGCAGGTCGGATTGTCCAACACTCAACAGTTCACACTTAGCAGAATGTGCCCAGCGGCAAAGTCTGTTGTGCTTCGTGAGACCACGGTGGCAGTTGCTCATCCCATGGCGAACTGGTCATGCCGACACCCATAGCCGCGAGGCGCGGCTTATCTTCATTCGTGGTCAAGCAAAGGCAGCATCAGGCGTAAGGCTTTCCTGGTCGGAGTCGGGAAACAGGGCGCCGTGAACCCCTGGCCAGAGGCAGCGCATCGGCACCGCGGCAGAGCCGTTCTCCTTGCTGAAGACATCGTGAAGCATGTCCAGGACCCTTGAGTTTCAGGCAAACGTAATCGTAGGTGGAGGACAACCGAGACCATCAGCCGGTTTTCATTATCAGATCGCACTCAGTAGCCGCCAACATCAGGGTGACAGTGTGGTGCTAACAGCTCATGAGGCTGATCTGGCCTATCTTGTACAAGCATATGTAGATAGACCAACCAGTATACTAAGCATGTGGTTGTGTATACGTATAAATGTATATGATATGTATACACTTAATACTATACTTTGTTTGTGCATTCATGCTGAAAGGCCTGCTAGGTCCTGTCTGGCAGCAGACGATTGTTCTCCGACGGATCTGCACATAGAGTGTGCGGCTTTTCAGCAGTGAGGCCAGCACAGCTGTGTCACATCCGATTTACTCTGCAGCCCCACAGGCTCCAGAAAGAAACCAGAGACTGTAGAATCTCATGAAGTGCTGTCTTGATTTCAGGGCTTCACGATGCGCGATCGCCAGCCATGAGCCACGATCAGCTACTCCGGTGCAACTAATCCCGAAATTCGACGAACTTCTGAACCTAAGAAAAACTAAACTAAACCTCCAGTCGGCCAGCTATGGCCTTGCCAGCGGCGCCGCTGGCATGGAGAAGTTCCGGCTCAAGAGCCGGGCTCCTGGCCACTTTCAGAGCAGGATGCTGCAGGGCGATCACTCTTCCGATCCCCCCAAAAACTCTAACAGTCGCAGAGACGCAAGGCTTTTCCTGCGCTGCAGGTTGCTGGTCCAACCGCACTTGGGAGGAGTGCTGCGCGGTGTCTTGGTCCATGCTAGTTTGAATTGACTCGAAGCCTCAGTTCGCAGGGGAAGGAAGTATACTGTGCCCTGCAAGGTTCGCTCCGAAGCGTACGGGACGGGTTTGCAGGACTGCTTCCCGGGCAGCTTGGCACAGGGAAAGCATCTGAATCTGAAAGCCTTCGGGGGCTTCTGCCAAGGCGAGAGGGCTTGGGAGAGCTGCTGCAACGTTACGGAAGCAGC